ACGTTTTTCAAGTTCCTAAGTAATAGCTTCATCAGTCGTCTGAACGTAAACGGTGCACCTGCTAGTCCAAACGGCATGCGTTTAAATCGATATTGTGTCTGACCCACGATGAAAGCCGTCTTATCTCTATCACCTTGTTTTATCGGTATCTGCCAGTATCCTGAGCGAAGATCGAGAACCGAAAACACATCCGCACCTTGTAGGCGATCTAAAGTTTCTACCACTGTTGGCATGGCACACGGTCTTAACTCTGTCATACTGTTTAACTGTCGAAAATCAACACAGAATCAATACTTCCCATTCGCTTTTTTTACTAACAGCACTGGAGAGTTGTACGGGCTATCAGCTTCCTCAATAATATCATCTTTTAACATCTCTTGCACTTGTCGCTCCACTTCGCCTTCCAGATGACATGGAACTCTTCGCGTTAAAAATGACCTTACTTTCGGATCACTTAACGGAATTTCATGATTCACCTTATCGCAATAACCGTATGGGTCGCCATCTCCAGTGAACAGATGATCGTATTTATTAATTAACTCTGTCACATTGTGTACCGTCGACAGCTTAATCGCTGCTATCTCGCTGGTCTCATACATGTTGATATGCCCGTATTTCGTGATCACCACGTTCGCTTGCGTGTCGATTATTGCACCAATCTCACGCAGAAAATCCGCTCCTAATATCGTTCTCTGTAGTTCGGGTACAACAATGAAAGGAAACGTCACCTCGCAGCCACCAACAACGACCGTACAGTTCGATCTACCCGTGATACGCAACACATACCCGCCTACTGTTTGTACTGTCAATGAACACGGACTAACACTCTTACATAAATTCTTATTGATTACCGACACGGCCGCTCCTGTATCTATCAAACATAATACTTCTCGATCATTCACTCGCAACTTCGAATACAGAGCCCCTTTCTCAATAGCCCCCACTAAATCTAGGTTCATACGAAAGAAAGAACAAGCATTATACCGTCTGAAATTTTTCCTTTTCCGCCTTTCTGGGCAGTATCTTCTCCAGTGTCCCGACTTACCGCATTCAAAACACCGGTCTTTTCTATCAGCCAACTTTAACGCCGCCACTTCCCGCTGCAATGCTTCAATTTTCTGCTCATATTCGTTTGGTTTTGGTTGGTCTATAGCGGCTACCGTTGTGCTCAGCAGCTGTCTGGTCACCTTCGCCAGCTCACTAATATCCATCGGCTGCGTTGCGTTAACCAGTTGTAATCGCTGAGAAATGTGGTCTGGGACACTCGCGATGAATTGGGAAGACAGTAACTGCGCTTCTGATTCTTCATCTAAAGTGGGAAGCGCGCGTCGAAGTAGATTCGTCAGTTTCACCGCCAACACCAGCGGGTCTCCATCAGGTCCAAGCTTCATTGACCGGAACTGCTGCATTGCTAGCTGTCTGTCTGTTTCGCTGTCAAACTCGGACACTAGTCGTTCGACCAATTTCTTCCAAGACGCTGTGCCATTTGACCTGTCTACGCTGTCATATGCAGCCTTCGCTCGGCCTCTCAACAGCGTCCCCAAGACAACTGCCTTCGCCGCCTGCTCCTTGACACCCACCAGCTCAGCAACGGCCTCGAAGTCACGTAAGAAGCTCCGTATGTCTCCTTCTTCAAACGCAGCTGGCCACGGGATCTTCATCTTTTTGGAGGCAGCGACACCAAATGTAACAACAGAAGACAAGGGCTGGCAACAGATCCTTTTATTACGAAAATCAACACGTATTTATATATATTTTATGTGCATTAATAAGGCTTATGCAAGCAGAAAAAGGCAGTCTTCTGATTGGTTGTTTCTCGGAAGTTAAGCAGACAAACACAGTCTTATGATTGGTTGTTTTCGATATTTCTCGGAAAGTAGAGCCATCTGTCTGCGAATCATATTTGTCCACATTTAAGTTTGCTGTGATTGGTTGTTGAAACAGCCTTGTTCATATTCTCTCACGGCCCATATTAGTGACCTAGACATTAACGTAGATTAGTGCCAACCAATCGACTAGCAGCCTGCTCTCACCACACCGTTATGGCAAGCCATCTAGCCTGTAACTAGCTACACTGCGAACTTGACTGACTGGTACAATTCAGTCTACACCAACAATTGGTAGAAGTCGGAATTTAAGAACATTAGTTCGCGACTCAGTGACTGAATGCTCTAAGAGCTTCCTTAGTAATCGGAATGTCCTAGTTTGGAATCCTCGTCGTAAGCAGTTACTGCCGGTGAGTACCAACCTGTGTCGACGAAACAGCCGTCCAGTACTCCCTGAAGGTTTCCCAATGGTTCTCTAACTGATGTCAACACGTGATTAATCATGTAGCTAATCAAATCTCCGCACACCAACACGTCCTAGTTCCAAATGACGAACAACAATCTTTGTATTCTCAATTAGCTCGAGTAGGCTAGCCAGAATTAGGACACTTTGAAGTGATTCAGCTCTCTGAATGAATGAACTGGACCAAAGCGAGCGAAACCAACACCCTGTGTTGAGATCAATTCGATGTAGGCAGAAAGCATCGTTTTCTGAAGCAATCGCCCTTTAACTACTCATATGACATTATCAGTAGTATTTCGGATCAAAACTTTTTGTCCTACACACTAATCCTAATAGACTCCTAATATATCTTCGCTCAGTCAGAATTATACTCGGCCATATCTTCACTTCATGTCATGCAAAATCATGTCAAAAACAAAGACAAAGTGAATACTCATCACATAGTCATTTTTTTCCTTTTGAGCTGTAATCAGGGGTGAGTCAGTCAGTCAGTCAATATTACCATTACTTCTAAAATAAATGTGTGCATTATAGGACAAAGGTCAAGTCACGAATAAAACCACCGATGCCTAACATTTCGCTACACACTACAAAAAAATGCATGAATTTACGATAAGCTACCAGTTCAATAAATTCAGGTTACTTAGTCATTACGTAATCATCCATGTCAATCAGACAGACTGATCCTATTTTCAGGTCAGCCCAATATATTACGTAATACGGAACTGTTTAACTCTTCATACTCTACCGACTGAAAATAATAAACTACCAACAGGTCATCACCAAACAAACAATTAATCGATAATGCACTCAAACATATCTTCACCTAATCAAAAAGACAAGTGTAATTTCAGTCAAAATCATACTTAACAAAAACAAAAAAAACAAAAGCAAGAGTAGAGTGAACATTCATCACATAACTGCGTGAAAATTGTTACCAGGGGTTAGTCAGCCACCATTACTTTACTATCACATCTAAAATATATTTTCATTAATAGACAAATAAATGATAAATAGTCAGATCTTGTAAAGATGAGTCATGCATAATTGAGACCGTTGTAAGTGTGAGACACATAACTAATTAATGCAATTAATGCATTCCTAATGATGGTTTTTTTATTGTAACCTGATATTAATGACTGACTGGTATAAGGACTTTACAGTTTGTGTAGAGATTGGATCGATTTCCTGGTAAAGATTCGCCTGCTTCGCGCCCCTCCCTTTCTCTTTTCCAGGGTCTTGGATCAACTTGAATACCAGGCGGAAATCGACTAGATGGAGGAAGAACAGGCTGCGAAGATAGGACTTCAGCTAAGCAGGGATATCTGGATGTGATGGAGAAAAGCAACAAACAACGCTAGTGACAATGGGCTTCAGTAACTATCAATGGGAGGCATTTGAATCAGGTCATATGCTTCGCTTATCTGACCAGACGGGATCGTTTCAACTACACGAGACAGCACAGATGAGAATGTGAAAACCAGCCAGGATGAGAAGCATAAGACAGACTTCATCGCTTTGAAATCTTTATAGAAATCTTCTGTACTCCTCCGCAGCATAAACGAAAAGTTTAGATTTTCAATACCAATGTTAAGTCAGTCAGTCAGTTCTATTATATGGATCAGAAACACGGTCAGTGTGTCACAAAAGTATTTCCAACAGGCCGCTGAAGACTTCTGTCAATATCAACCTTTGCTAACTCCAAAATGAAGACCAAATGGCTGACTGGAAAGAATTAGCAACAAGAAATTCTGAAAACGAACCAACCAAGAACTCATAGCTCGACAAATATGCAGAAGAAGGTGCAGATGGATCAGACACACGATGAGGAGACCGTTGAATGACATTCCACGATAGGCAAATCACCGAGTGGTCAACGAATAATTTGGATTTATTCCGAGGCTAACATAGAGGAGATCGTCTAAAGAGGGGGTGAGACATTATGAACAATCACAGGGTCAGCAAAAGGCAATCACAGAGAATGGGATAAGGTGGAGATATGCTGCTGAAGCCTTATGTTCCACTTGGAACCCAAGGGAACAATAATTTCATAATAATATGTAGGCATCGCCATGGCATTTCACAGCACTGTATAACTGTATAGCATTGAAAAAAACGCTAAGAAAAGAATATTCCTTATTACACTAGCAATAGAAAACAGTCTGAGTGAATATGTACCTTCGACAGAATTATAACCACTGAGAACCAGATTACTTCCAGAAGAATCCCTGCCTATCAGGCCACAATGTGCGACGCTTGACAATGCATACTAGCTAGCCAGTTAGCAAAGATGATGTAGGTGGTAGGGCCGGAATGGCTGAGTAGGATTCGAAACTGCTACAGTCGGATTTGCATTATATTTCACTGGTCTGCTACTTTAGAGTTCCTGATAGGAAATTTAAAATTAATTTTGGGACTAGTTGGTTAAAACAAGAATATTTAATCAGGCCAGTATTCATTTTTTGTTTTGATTTACAGCTTGATTCCACACTGTATTTTTGGTACATGTATGGAATTTTCAGCGTGGATATCGGTAGCCCGAATTTTGCAGGCCGACCATTCCATAGCAGGTGTGCGTCGAAAGGGGATCGAACCTCGGACCATGTGCATGGTCGGCGAGAGTCCTAACCACTGTGCCACCGACGCACGTAACGTAGACTATATTCATGAGAAAATAAATAAAACCATATTCAACCGTGTATTATACTTACCTATCAGTGTAATGAACACATTGTAAATTCTGTATCGACAGACACTTTTCATTAATTGGTATTGGACAGTAGGAGGACTGGTAACAATCACGATGTAAATCTAAGGCTTCTATCAAAGTCGAATACTTAAAACGATATTTAACATCGTGTGCATTGACTCCAGTCGGCTTAGAATTCTGAAATAAAAAGAATAGCAAATAATCACAGATTATGACATTTGATTATCCTTGAGAGATTGAACACTGTGGAATTAATATCGTGTAGAAATAGTTAGCAAAGATTTAAACAATGAGTAATCTGAAATTTTCAAGAGTTTGTTTGTAGGAATTTGATTTGTTTCAAGTTTGAACACGGATCGATATCAGTTAGAGAAACTTCGGAAAACCAGCAGTGGAGTACTGGACAGCCACTTGCTTCGTTTGGGATTCATCGGAAGTACGAACCCAAGATCTTCCAGTCACAAAGTGAGCTCGTAGGCCATCCAGTCACTGGGACCCGATTCAATTGCCAGCCTATGAATTCTAACTTCTACCAATTCGTGACATATTTAACGTGAACAGCACTAGTCAATGTCATCGGTGAGCATTTGTCCTGACTATCGATCGGATGGACTCCACCGATGACAACTTCTCAGTGGAACTACAGCCAACTTCATCCTGTAGCCAGTCACTGGCGATGAAAACCAGGTTAATTTTCATGAGTTAGTTTTTGAAGTTACTCGACTGATATTGGCTAGCATTCGAATCTAGGATACATGTGTGGTTTAACTATGAGTAAAAAAAATACCCCCTATTATTCTGTCTCAGACGACTTCATAATTCTGATAGCTGAATTCAATTCATTCTAAGTCTGACAGTCTTTTACTCCGTGATTTCACTACACACAGGACAGGTCTAGTCAGATGAATACAGCTGTCTGAAATGCTTAACCTGTAGACACCTGAGGAAATCAACCTTAAAATAATCCTTTTCTTTGAAATAATGTGATAAACGGTGACTAGCAGTGGTATCCAGCACGATAATTTCGTCTTGAGTTGCTATGCTGACACTGTTTATTGGATTTTTCTGTTTTCTGTCTTCTCTCACCCCCCTTTTTTTTCTTCTTTCATAGTTTGATAATATATAAATTGATGGTGATTGACTTAGATTATAATACTTATATTCCAGATGCGTTCACCTTATAATGTTTTCTCTATTACCTTTCAAACAATGAAGTATGAAATGTTATTATTTATAACCATTGTAATTTCAGGTAGTTTGCAGCTGATGAGAACCTGTGAAATAGAATGATATCATTTTATACTGCAAATCTGGTCTTTCTTTCTCAATCAAAATTTCGTCTTACTTCGGACTTGCCACCTGTACGTGCCTGAGGCCGAACACTTCGGTTTATTCAATCAAAGGGAAAATCAGAACTGAAGTGAAAATGAATAATAATAACTGACACATGTTGCATAAGAGGTGACTCTCAGGGCCTGAGTGGTCTAGTGGATGACTCCATGGCATTTGAAACGAAGGGTACTAGGTTCCAGCCTCAGTTGGAAAACCATCATTCGCCAGGGAATCCAGGGACATCCAGGTGATGAGTGTGAAATAAGATCAAATGAGCACCCTGGATTCAAATTACTGTCATTTTAGTTATTTGGCACAAAAGAGACCTATTGACAGATATTCATCATCGTGCTATTTTGCTAGTTAAGTCTGTTATGTAACCTAAATGCCTGTGTGTACGTATGAGTCTACAAATTCACATCAATATGCATATATATATATATATATATATATATATATGCTAGTGAACTTTGTAGCCATACTTCTACCGATAATAAATATTATAGGTCAATACTTCTGATAAACAATGGTCTGCCAAATAAATAAATAATTTTAAAAAAACAAAAATTTTAGAGCTGACAAGATTTAATTTATTCTGTATAAAATCATATTTGTTTTAGGCGTATATGACACTTCATGGGTTTCAGTGAATATCCTTTCTCAATGAGTCTAATAGAAGCTGATTTAACTGGCTACAGGTTTGAACACGAATTGATATCAGTTAGAGAACCTTTGGAAAACCAGCATTGGAGTACTGGACAGCTGTATAGTTCCGGTTTGGGACTCTACATCAGTACTCATTCACAGAAGTTCGAACCCAGGACTTTCCAGTTAGAAGGTGAACTCGTAGACCATTCAACCACTGCGACCCAAACCAGGACGAAACAGCTATCCAGTACTCTGGTGTTGGTTTTACAATGGTTCTCCCTCTAACTGATGTCAACTCATGAACAAACCGGAAAAAATTAACAGTGAATAATTGTTTCATTCTAATCTAAAGCTCTTTTACAGTGCACATCTAAAAGAAGTCACCAGAGATTTAGTCGAAGACAGTGATGCCTTGTGGGGGAGAAAGTTTTAATGTAAATGCTTTAGATAGGATCCAGTGGCTCATGATATTTAATTTTTGTCAGTTTGTGATGTAATACACATAAAGTTCTGTGTGTTCAGTGATTGGGTCAAGAGTTAGTATTTTTATCTTGTGTAGGCTTATTGATTTTCTGGACTAACAAAACAAAGCCACAAATACCCTATCAAAATACCCCTCCGATTAGAAACCTATTTTAACAACAATGCCCAGGATTTTTGAGAATAAACGTTAATGGAAGTGCAGTTTATTGCTTCAGCTACTAGATTTCAGCTTATCACAGTAGCGTTTATACACCGTAAGTATCCACTTTGACCATTTCACTACAAATCTCAGAATTTATTAAAATCTAAATAATTCTGCTGAAGAAGTTAAAGCTTACACAGAGAAACATTCGGCCACAGTGTTAACTCTGCTTACAGCCTTGAAAATCCTACGTGACATAATAAAGGTCCTTCTCATCAGTTCAGTGATTCATAAGGAAGAAAGAATCTAATACAGGATCCAAGTTAGATCACGAACTGACTTCATTTGGTGAACCACTAAGAACCAGACAGTTTTGGGCATCTAACTGTTTCGTCTTTGTTTGGAACTCTTCGTCAGTATGCGCTAACAACTCAACCAGAGGTCGAACAGTCATCAAATTTGAAATCACCTGAGTGCCTGCCAAGCAACACCCGCAAATTAATACAGATTTATAAATTTCCAGATGAGACAAGAGGTTAAGTTGTGCCACAGTCAAAGGTTTTATAGTTAATGGAACGCAAGGAGTTGAGTAATGTTGTTTTAGAAAAAATAATCCCAGAAGGACAGAGTAAGCATTATCCTAAGCGTTTCAGATACACTGAGTTCTCAAGTGGCGAGAGAAACTGGACAAAGATCACAAGAATTTGAATGACTGCTTATAAGCCTAAGGGTCCCATTGGCTTAATGGTTTGCGAGCTAGCTCGCCTTATAACCAGAAGGTCATAGGTTCGAATGGCGGTGGGTGCATACTGCTGAAGTCGGTAGAATGCTCGCCAGCTATGCAAGAGGTTCGGGGTTCGATCCTCGGCCGACGCACTTCCTCACCTTGCTAAGCCAGTGAAGAGAAAGGGTTGGGCATGAGGCTAGCAACCCCATTCCGTAAAAACAAACACCACTGCTACTGAAAATTAAAGCTTCTAGCTTGAAGCCCTATGTTCCACTGAGAGTGTAAAGAAATAAAATAATAAGTCTAAGGTGTTAAATAGATCGACAAAATAGTAAACTAAAAGTATATTACTAAGTGAAATGATATTTTAGATTAGCGATACAATAATAATATACAGTAAGCCAAGTAACTTACATCATTCCCCGTAGCTGCCAGATTTAACCATCCTGTCAGGCTTTTCAATCTGTCTAATAGATACGTCAGTTTTTCATCTTGAGCGTATTCAAATGAAAAATGATTATCATGGTACACATGATATACAAGCCTGCATGACGATTCAAAAATACTTTGTAGAATAGCAAGAGACCTTTTTAAGTCCTGTAGATGTCAAAATTAAATAAAACAAATGAATGAATAGGTTTAAATACTGTAAACACATGAAATAAATCATAATCAGAGAGGTGGATAATATGTGTAAGGAAACAACTAACACATGAATAGACAGTTAATACGTTTGAAGGCTGTTTTCATCTGTATATGTGCCGCTTCCCATAAATGGTGGAAGATATACGCCCCCCCCCGCAATATTAAATCTCATAAGCAAAGATGAAGAGCACATGTATTAAATCACTTGACCCCCCCTTTCTAGTGCATCATGAAAGCTTCATCAGTGTAGGGAATCAACTGACATATCGATAAGGAGCCCAGCAACCAGTTCCAATAGTGTTAGGATTTGTGGACTACCAGTTGGAAATAAATAAATAAATGAGGTCGTAATCCTGTTTATTTGTTCGCCTACATATCCTCGCTCTCTAGAACTGCACAGACTCTAATCCTCAGATACTGGATTTATGAGAGATTGATTAAAGTAACTCTAGATTCTATGACATATCCAAATCAGCCTAGAACTTTGGAAAACTAGAAAGCACTTCGCCGTCATTTCATCCTACTTAAGAACTCTTTATCAGTGTTCATTCTCTACAGCAAGTTGGAATCCAATACCCAGTGGTTAACTACTTCTCTTGGTTCGTGATACAGAACGCCTAATATCTTTCTCGAACATCGAGTAACCTTCCCACCCACCCCCTCCTTAAACTTGACAAACTTAAAAACTGCTGCTTAATAGACCGGTAGTAATTACCAGAAAACCTTATAATATTTGGTAGCATCACTCAGGAGACCAGTATGCAAGAATACTGGAACTCCTTGAAAGCGGTATTGGAGGAAACCTGTGCAGCTGTCTTAGTAAGGAAGAAGAGGAAAGACAAGGAAAGGCTCTAAATGGACACTTGGAAGCTAATAGAAGATGGAGGATGGTGGGACAGATGAACCAATGCAAAGAAGGACAATAGAAGAAGAAGCTCAGTTCAACGTACATCTCACTGAATAAAGAGTGTTAGAAAAATAAAAGACAATTAACTCAGCAAGACACTGGCAACTGGAGCGGAACAGGCTACAGGTAAGAGGGACTTCACATCACTATATCAGATAAACAGGTAGTTATCGGGGAAGAAATCAGCACACTGAAAGCAATGAAGGTTATTGAAGGGAACCAAACAACCAAAGAAGAGGAGCAAAGAAAAAGTAAGGAGGACTACTTCAAACGACTCTCGAACAGATGGCCACCTACAACTCTCCCAGAAGTGCCACCAACAGCCAAAAAACAGTCTGTGAACAATAACCTTCCGTAAAAAGTAGAAGTCTTGTATACCATGAAGTTACCAGAAACCGGGAGGATGGTAAGTTCAGACAGAATTCCCACGAGAGCACTAAAAAGGGGTCCAGAGATCCCCAGTGGATGCCCTGATACCACCGATTCAGAAAGTTTGCAAGGAAGGAAAGGTACCTACTAACTGCAAGGAAGGCTACCACGTCAAACTTCTAAAGAAGGGAGACTTGAGTCTTTGCGGGAACTAGCACTAAATTTCAGTCCTATCCACACCAAGCAAAATATTAGGTCGTGTCATTCTTGATGAGATACAGAGGTGCTTTGAATGCGAAACTCACCCTCTACCAGAACAATTTGAATTGAGGAAAAAAATCATGTTGCAATCAAATTGGAACTCTACGCATCATCATCGAACGGAGTATAGAATGGTAAGCAAATCTCTACCTCAACTTCATCGATTTTGAAAAATCCTTCGACGGCGTTTACACTAGGTAATTTGGAAACTACTTTAACACCATGGAGTGTAGTGCCACAAATTTTTATCAACCCTGTTCAACAGCTATATGGTGATGTCACTGATTCACAGCAGAAAACTAAGAGAAGCATTTTGAGCGAAGACTGAAGTAAGAAAAGACTGCCTATTATCACTGGTGATGTTCCTGATTGTGGTGAACTTGATCATGCAACAGACTGTGGGCGGCCAGAAGATGGGAATACATTAGACCGATAAGAAGAGTTCTGGACTTCAAGGATGATATACGTCTAATGTCACACAAACTCAAAGATCTGGAGGCGAAAACCGGCAGATTTTCAGGAGATACAGTCAGCGGAGACAGGAATTCAAGTAAATAAAGAGAAGGCCGGGATGATGAAGACACCTGGTCAGCAACAGCAACAACAACAACAAGTACCACCCACCATCAACGGAAAAATTAGAAGGAAGTGACTCAACTACAGGTAACAGCCCGAATGAAGATTCCAAAGCAACTACTCTAAAACCAATTTAGAAATTTGCTGCACTCAGCATTAAGAGCAAGATTCAGATTTTCAACATCAGTGTCAAGTCAATACTTTTATGTGGTCCAGAGAATAGACGTCCAACAGCCTGACGCAAACTTTTATCGACAGCTGCCTTCCCTTTATACTTAAATTCAGGTGTCTGGTAAGGATCAGCAACAGCGAACTCTAGGAACGAACCAACCAAGTACATATTGGTCAATAAATATGTCGAAGGGAATGGAGATGCGTCAGACACATACTAAGGAAACCAGTGAGTGACATCTCGAGCCAGGCCATTGCTCAGGTGGAACTTGGATTGAGTGTAAAATGTTAATAACGTACAAAATAGTAAAAACTGGGATACTCTTACTTCAAATTTATAGATAAAATCATTTATTTCTTCAATCCATAAACCAATTTTCGTATTACATGAACATTTGTGCACATTTCTGACCACCAAGAAGTTTATTGTTCTCAATTCGAATTCTTTTAATACTGACTGGTATTCATGTTGGAATGAATTAACCTGAAACAATAGAGTACATTCATAATGAAAATACAAAATTCCTACAGAGTAAAAATACACAGGGACTCTAACAATAACTTCCTCGATTAAATAAACGTTTTACCAGCCAAAATAAGTATATATATATGCAAAAGTACGATTGAAATGAGAAGTGCGTCACTTGTATGTACGGCTTTACTCTAGTATTCAGTAAGTGTAGAAGCTTAATTAGGCTGGGTTAAGTAAATAAACATAACTAGGCCTTGTATCTGCGCCTAAGATCTAAGGAAGACTCATTGCATTTAGACGCAGCCTGCTTTGAGTAATGTTTATTGGGGACATTAATTATACCACTTCGCTGCAAAAGCCTCCGTAAGAGTTGTGGAGAGTTCCAGTGGCCGAAAATAAAGAGTTCAAATCTGTAAGCCACAAGTACACCTCAAGAATGTAAGAAACATCTACATTCTTTGTATTCTCAATTAACTCGAGTAGCTAGCCAAAATTAGGATCGTTTGGTGTGATTCAGCTCTCTGAATGAATGAACTGGACCAAAGCGAGCGAAACCAACACCCTGTGTTGAGATCAATTCGATGTAGGCAGAAAGCATCGTTTTCTGAAGCAATCGCCCTTTAACTACTCATATGACATTATCAGTAGTATTTCGGATCAAAACTTTTTGTCCTACACACTAATCCTAATAGACTCCTAATATATCTTCGCTCAGTCAGAATTATACTCGGCCATATCTTCACTTCATGTCATGCAAAATCATGTCAAAAACAAAGACAAAGTGAATACTCATCACATAGTCATTTTTTTCCTTTTGAGCTGTAATCAGGGGTGAGTCAGTCAGTCAGTCAATATTACCATTACTTCTAAAATAAATGTGTGCATTATAGGACAAAGGTCAAGTCACGAATAAAACCACCGATGCCTAACATTTCGCTACACACTACAAAAAAATGCATGAATTTACGATAAGCTACCAGTTCAATAAATTCAGGTTACTTAGTCATTACGTAATCATCCATGTCAATCAGACAGACTGATCCTATTTTCAGGTCAGCCCAATATATTACGTAATACGGAACTGTTTAACTCTTCATACTCTACCGACTGAAAATAATAAACTACCAACAGGTCATCACCAAACAAACAATTAATCGATAATGCACTCAAACATATCTTCACCTAATCAAAAAGACAAGTGTAATTTCAGTCAAAATCATACTTAACAAAAACAAAAAAACAAAAGCAAGAGTAGAGTGAACATTCATCACATAACTGCGTGAAAATTGTTACCAGGGATTAGTCAGCCACCATTACTTTACTATCACATCTAAAATATATTTTCATTAATAGACAAATAAATGATAAATAGTCAGATCTTGTAAAGATGAGTCATGCATAATTGAGACCGTTGTAAGTGTAAGACACACAACACACACAAGCTTCACTAAGCTTGTAAGAAACATCTATATCACGAAATGCTGGATTTCAGGTTTACAGAACTCTTTATCCGAGCAAGCACAGCGGTTGAATGTTCAAATCACCGGTGTGCAGTTGGTGATTTGGCTTTAAGACAGTATAAACAGTGCTTAGTTTAATGTGATTGTTGGTAAGGATATAAGAGTTTCAAAACAATTAAGCAACTGCATAGGAAAACGTATTAGCAGTGAAAAACGTGATGAAGAATGAAACTGTAAAAGAGTTTGGCAGGTATGCAATAAGCATATGGATACCTGAGGACACTTGCTACTTCTATGTCTACTTGATATGTGAAACAAATGTGACAGCATTGGTAGTCATAAAAGGAAAAAGTACCTTATAACAGGCGGATAACTTATTTGGAGCAAATTGAGAAATGTTACCTCTTTAATCGATTCATTCTAACACTTCATGAACAGTGGGAATAAAGCAGCTGATCATCTAAAAGAAGAGTATAAACTGCTGCCACATCCCCTCCTTTAACTTGATTTTGTCGTAAGACATCAGCAGAGATACTTAAAAAGTGATAGTAATTGCCTTGAGGTTAACTATTATTCCTTTGATTTTAGCGCAATACCAGGGCTTTAAGAATCTACTTCTCCACCAGTGTAATTAAATGTAATTGAAAATCAGAACGACTATGCAAAATCGAGTTGTTTTGCTAGGGTTTACTCAAACATTTTACAGTTCAATATCCTTTTTTAAAATAATCACTTTGACCGAAAATAATACAGGTAAGATTTTGAAACATATAAAGAACATCTGCTTGTAAAATTTATTTTGACTCAAAAATGAAAGAAATGTTGAAAGTTAAGGAAACTTACGGCATTGCTAAACTGTTGCAAAAATGCTAAATGCACTCGATTTCTAGAGGTTTTGAAGAGGGTGGTAAACTTTGATTGCAAAATATTTATATCAGCTGCGATCATTTCTCGGAAATCCGTTCTACAGAGTGATCCCAGATTTTTAAATATTTCTAAAATAAAGATGCGTCATTTGAAATTAGAGTGAATTAGAAGACAATTATAGACATATGCAAATACTGTACAATTCTATACACGGACCTATGCTTATAGTTTTGTATTATTTGTGCTTCTGATGAAATCCAAACCATAAGAAAAACGAGATGAACCAGTGGGAAATTATCCAACTTAACTACAGATGTATAGTCACAGATCCAGTTACCAAAGAAATCCAAAGTAATGTCATGTTTGTCTCCCTACCTTTCATCTGGACTTACGAGCATGCAGATTAAGAGACTAACGTTCGGAGTCAAAAATAATGAGAGCATAAATATTCAGACTACATAGTGCTATCTCAGTAAAGACTCGTAACTACATGTCATATGCGTTTTTATCACTATTATAAACAGATTTTATCATGTACGGAAAATATGAGCAACAGGTTTGCTGATGCTTTTGTGTGCCGGAGAAAAATTAAATTTTTGGCTTCACCTGTTAGAGCCATGACTGTAACAAGTTCTTACTCAATCAAAGTTTTTTCACTGTATTTCCTAATGAAGACTCTTTAGAAACAACCGTCTTGAAATTCAGCGCATTTCTGATAAGGGTAGACGACCACGTGGGTATTCTTTTTGAAATATATCAAAACAAGATAAGACTGTGTAATCTAAAATCTCCTGACGGAATTTAATCATCTGTACCACATGGGTTATCACCAGCAAATAAATGAATAGCTGCCAAAAATTTAGTTACCTCCGGAGAGAATTCCATGGAAGAAAACACGCCACTAACCACTTAACGATAACGACTGATGTGCTTAAAGAATAATGATTCTTAGGTCATTCAATATTCAATAACAACATTGAAATGTGAAAAATTAAATTTCACCACAAGATTATGTTATCCAATATCGTTTTTACGAGCCAGTATAAATCAACTTGATTTCTTTGTGCTCGCCTCTTGATTGTGAGGTGTAGGCTCCTGATCTTCGGTAAACTTCTGCGTAGCTCGTCCCGCCACTTGACTGTCGTAGCTCTGGTTGACTCCAAAAGGAGCAGGGCTGGGATTAATTACATGTTGTTTGTAGTATGTGGTGTGTTGGGACTTTGTTATTGCTGTTAGTGGAGTTGACCCTTTTACCAGTTAGTCCTCCGGTATCGTCGTCAAGAGAAAAGATAATAATAATTGATATAATTAGTGAAGTTTAATTGTCTAGTCCTGGATGGTGTATGCGATGTTAAGGGGATAGGCCAGTTGGATGCAGTCCTTGTGCCTCTGCATGACTGTCCAGCCTCCGCTTAAAGGCGTCCACAGACGGTGCCATATCTACATCTGTCGGTAAGGAATTCCAGGGACGGCAAACCCGCAGTGAAAAGAAGTTGGAGCGCGCCAGAATCCATGCCATCTGATGAGCTATCCTTCTGGAATTTCCACGAGGAAGCCTATACCTACTCAATTGCAGAACACCTTTATTTGGGTGATTCTGGTCATTTGTTATTTTGTAGGCAGTAATTAAATCCCCCGTAAGACGACGGTAGCCAAGTTTGAACGGGCCTAATTTCTTCAGCCTTACATCATATAGTTTATTTCGGAGACCAACCACTCCTTTTGTTGCCCATCGTTGGACTCTTTCCAAGAGGTTGGCGTCTCTTCTAAGCGGTGGGGGTACAATAATATCATGCATTTCAGGGTGTGGTCTGACGTATGTTTTGTACAACCTTAGAAAGAGCTCAGGAGTGAGTGCACTTAACTGTCTATGTGTAAAGCACATAACCGCATTTGCCCTCGCGACATCCCCCGTTTAATTTACGCTTGTGTCCATATTCCCCGTTAGACCTAGACCTAAGTCAAGCTCGGACGTTGTGTACGACGAGCTTTTGTTGCACAAGGTGTAGCTTGCATTCTGCAGCCTACATGTGCGTAATTTCACTACTTTTTCGGACTGAAAGCCGTACCACTGCCAACCGCCAAGTCTTCCAGAAGTTTCAGGTCTGTCTGTCGCCTATCTGAGTCTTCCGAACACTTTATCGCCCTCTATATCTTTACGTCGTCAGCGTATAGAACATTCGGGCGGCTTAGACGGGATGATAGATCAATGGTAAAAATCAAAAACATCAGTGGGCCTAGGATGGGACCCTGCAACACTCCTGATGACGAGCTGTACCAAGGTGATCGTACAAGATTGACCTTAGTGCACAATTGCCTTTCAGCCAGGTAGTACTTTAACCATGACAGAAGTGGCTTACCTATACCTGCCTGGCTTATTTTACGCAGGAGAAGGTCATGTCAAACAGTGTCAAATGCCTTCTCAAAGTCTAGGAAGACCACATGGACTGGTATATTCATATCTTAGCATGATGTCCAGTCGTCCCAAGCTGAGAGTAGGTTGGTAACGCAGGCTCTGCCTTTCCTGAAACCGTGTCAGGCTTCATGGAGTATATTAGACCTATCGAGGTATTCCCTGATGTGATCGTCAATAATACTTTCCAGCACTTTTGATAACACTGGGAGCAGAGCTACTGTGGCATTTTGCCTGTCCCCACTCTTGAAGATCGGAGAAAGGATGGCTCTTTTCCACTCCCTTGGCAGTTTCCCCGCATCCATTGGGTGTTGGAACAAGTCGCATAAGGGCCTACAGAGAGCTTTGGCGCACTGTTTCAGAACAGATGGCCCGATGTCGTCACAACCTGGGGACTTCCCAGGTGTGAGTGTCTGTCCTTCCTGAGTACTATTGCGGGGTTTATTTGGGGAGTAGCCATTAGGTCTTCCCCCTGTGAAATAGTAGTGCCACCATTTTGTTCTGGAACGGTAACACCCACATTGCTGTTTAGCTGTTTGGCGAAGGCTAAACTGAATGTTTCAGACAACGCAAGACTAGTGAGATATTGACCGTTTGGGCCTACTGAGGCGCATGCTCCCTGGTTAGTTGGTTTTCTTTCTGACATGATTCACCGCAAGTTTTTGGGGTTTGCCAGGAAAGGCGCGTAGAAAAAATATGCTTTTTGATGATTCCCGTAATAATAAGCAAAATTATTTTGGAATGACCATTCACATCCGAGCTCAAAAAAGTATATAATAAACATGAATATTCTCATAGTAAACACATATTTCTCTATTTCTTGAGTTGAAAGTTCTAAATAATGGCACAAACCTTGACTCTTCATGACAGTTGCTTCTAAAACCATTTGCTTGTACTGTCTGACAAAGAAGTTTTACAGGGTATTTTCACTCACCTCCTGTACTCTTTGGGTTGTTTATTTATTTTTTTATTTATTTTTGATTACAGCTTGATTCGACACCGTATTTTTGGTACAAGTGTGGAATTTTCAGCGTGGATATAGGTAGCCCAAAATTCGCAAACAGGCCATAGATATCAAGTGTGCGTCGGCGTGGGCTCGAACCCCGGACCATGTGCATGGTCGGCGAGAGTCCTAACCATTGTGCCACCGATGCAGAGTGGGTAGTGCATAATGAAAAAGATTAGGCAGTCTGTCCTTCATTGAAATGCCATACAGTATTATTATGTCCTCAAATGATCTAATGCAGATGTCAATCACGTCTCATAAACCGTTAATGCCCAGCTCTCGCTACGCTCGGGCCCACACTGTTCTTCGAAGATTTCTCAGAAACGCTTAGTTATAACGGACGCAAAAACCAAAACACTGATCTGCCGCTTTAGATTTGTTTATTGTTACACCAACATATAAAAGGAATAAGCGAACTAAGGTCTGAAAACAAATATTACAATAATAAATCATAAGATTACTTCTGACGATGTTTCACTCTTCTTTCTGAACAGCGACCGATGAGACGATGACTGTCGTATTGATGCCTCCGCGAAAATTGGGGAAGTTGGTTTTGAGCAAACAACCATGAATTGATCGTTCAATCTTCAACTCCATTGACACTCCCCGGCAAAAAAGGGATCCAACCCTTTTTTCTTCACGACCAATACACGTCGACTTGGATGCCATTGCGAGAACCTGGGTCACACGGACAGAGCTGAAATGGAAAACAAACAGAAAAGCCAACACACCACAAGCATACTCACAGCACAATCTCACACATCAATGACGACCTGCGCCTCCAGACAGAGACCTCCTCTTGACATCTTGCAACACAATCGCCGCTTGCTAGAATGACTCTTGCAGAATGCGAAGTGACCATGGCAGCACCTCACGATACTCCACGCACATCCTCTTATCCACTCACTACCAATTACCACTGAAATCGCTTGTCACTCATTCTGCCTCAGTTCTAATAGCGGTGACGCATGCGAGCCTCAGTCGTTTACACTCTTTCTCCCCGGCGTGTCGGACCGCAGCTAACAATTATCTCCGTGTGCATTTCATTCTCAGCAATAGCCTCCCCGGCGTTTACGACCCATCTGCTGTCTTTAACATCAATCAATTCATTCACGGATGTAGAAGAGTGGACACAACTTCGAAAGTAATCACGACGAAAATTTTAACAAAATTATGCAATAAAAACAAGGTACGAAAACAACGAGTAAACACAATTAATCCAAAACACCACCAATTGATATGACACACCACACATATATACAAACAGTACACACAAACTCGCATTTCATGTCTTGATGGAATACCCTTAAAGAATTGCAGGACTTACACCAGCACGCCTACAAACCTTCACAGGTTGACGATTGTAAGTTGTGGAATGTCCAGACACAAACACGATTAACCAACAATTACATCAATTGGAACTCACACAACTATTTAACACAAACATATGTACAATCAACACATCAAATGTTGTGGATTCTGACACGACAAACTACCCTTGAAGAACCGTAGGACTTACAGCAGTACGCCTACATTCCTTCTCAGGTTGATGATCCAAGTGGAAGTCGTCCGGACACAAACAGAATTACCAACAGCTAGATGACAGATGATATCAATTCAGTATATACAATATGAACATATGTACAAAATCACACACCAAGCACATTGGACTGCTCATTGATGCGCTACCCTTTGAAGAACTGTAGGACTTACACCAGTACGCCTACAACCCTTCTCAGGTTGACGCCCTAGGTTGGAAAATCGTCGCAGAGTTCATTTGCTAACTTCCTTCTATCATCTGTATCCTCAAATCTGAAGGGTAACACGCCCATGTCATTGTATCGTAGAATATAGATGACCAACAAACACACGACATATCTCATCAACCAAGTATAGAAACAGAGTAATTTACACCAAAGATAATAACATTCAAATAGTAACTTGAAACTAGAAATGCCTTTATTCGTGCAAGTCAATTTAACAATAACTCTCTCCTTTACACTTGGCTTATCCACACTAAACTGACCATTGATATTCGTCCTTTCAAACGAACTGATACTACCATAGTCATTGCACAAGATACTTGAGTTAATGGGTGTCTGTTTCATTGTGGATGACAGCACCACCGATGACTGAGTGACACAAGGTGATGAACTTAGTGGTGGATCAGAAGCTGTTCTTGTTCGGATCTCAGATAGTTGTCCAACTGCA